ACCACGGAAACAAACAGAACCGCTTGTAAAAGTTCAGGCACACAGAGACGTGGTACAGGGCTGAACCTCAAGGCCCACTTTCAAAACACCAACTACCTAACTGACAAAATAACTAAATGAATAAAGGCAATTAGAGAAACAGAAGATAACTCAGCTTCACAGCGAAATCAGACCTTTCCATAAGATAGATCAAACACTGTCTGCTGAGGTTTCCACCCAAATGCTAAAGAACACGTGTTCTTCTCAGCAAGACCCAGGAATTCCTCCCAAGGGACCTGCAGAGCAGCCCCTTCTGGTCCTTTCCACAAGCACACAGTGTCTTGGGCTTCGCGGAGCACTGCTCCTAGATATCAAGCACACAAATAGCACAGAGAGCTTTATAAACATCGGGACATAGAGGAACACAGCCCTGAACACACAATGGTGACACAAGTGGTCAAGCAAAGAAGGAAACATTTCCTGGAAGCAAATGGGAGGGCAGGTCCCGGTTGCCAGCGCCTATGGGACACAATGTAACCAGTCCCAGGAGGGACACGGGAGGACCACGTCTCGATCTGGTATCACTCATCCTTCACAACTCAACTGCCAACAACCCAGCAAGTGGAAAACACTGTTTTGTCCCTCAAATTGGGAATGAGAACATTTCTCTTATCTATATTGCTGTTCAATATAGTACTTAAAAATTCAGCCAGAACAAGCACCCAAGGAGAAAAAGGAAAACGATATTAAAATAGGATAAGAAGAGGTCAAAGTTTACTTACTTGATGACAGGGTGCTCTCCAGAGCAGACACACAAGCACCACCAAAAGACGCCTACAATAAATACTCAACCTGACAGAATGCGTAATACACGAGCACGACTCCTCCAGCCCAGTCATGAACCTGCTGAAAAACCTGAAATGGAAGAGACTCTGTACGCAACAGCATCGAGAATGACTGCTGGACGGGCGGGGACACTTATGGTCACAGTGGCCGTGATTCCAAGGGGGATCCACACAGCCGACGTAACCGCAATCCAGCTACCAACATGCGGTCTTCACAGCATGGAGAACACAGCCCTCCAAAGCACCAGGGTCCATGAGAGACCGAGAATACCCAAAGCCCTCCAGGGCATGAAGAGCAGAGGACAGCTGTCCAAGTCCTGGGCTTCAAGTGTATTGCAAAGATGCGGGGCGCAACACACAAAGCAGAGCAAAATAAAGGAAGCCAGAACTATAGGAAACAAAATGAAACAACGAAAGGAAACAGCATGCTTGGCACCAGCATTTCAAAAGATATGAGAATGCACAGCACTGAAGACAGGATGCAAAACCACTGCTGGGACAGAGAGCCAGCAGATCTGCGTCTGCCTGCTGGGCAGCACCACTGGAAGGCCCTTTCCTTAGGAATGCCAGTGGGGACAGACAGAGCCAGACAGATCCACCTCTGGCTGCAGGGAGCAGCCACCAGAAGGCTCCTTCTTGTACGTAGCCTGCAGGAACAGGGACAAGCACCCAGATAAGCCCTGTGCACCTGTAGGCCCCCACTGGAGGCCCTTGGTTCCTTTTGGCAGTCATCACCCAATAGTGGAATCAGACCAACACAGCCCTGTGTGTCTGCCACCATCACGGCAGTCCCAGTGTAGACACAGGCTGAGAGAAGCAGCCCCACCCCCATGCAGAGAATCCCCACTGTAGCTGTACATCTGAGGAGATGCCCCCCTGCTACCTCCCTGTAAATCTGGGGTCAGAGGAACTGGGTGCCTGTCCCATGCCCCCTGCACCATGGAAGGGTACGCAACGTGGGAAGTACCTGGGAACCTACAGGAAGCCAAGAGAATATCCAGATGATGGAGGAAAAGGCATCCTCAGACCTCTACCCCACACAGAACCACTCTGGAAGATACAGTCATGGAATCAAATGCAAGTCGCGTACCTCTAATCTCTTGAGAGTGTAGCAACAGAAATAAAGAAACAACTTCATGAGATTGCAAAAGCAGTCAAATCAGATATAACGTCTCAGGTAAAAAAGAAATCACAAAGACACTGGAAGGATTGTTCAGCAGATCTAAAGAAGACAGACAAAAAAGAGGAGCACAGGAAAATGACAGAAACTTTGAAAGGATATAGAAAGGAATTACAATGCATGAAGCAGGTTCTGAGAGATCCGGAAAATTAAACATTAACTTGAAAGTTCCTGAAACAGCTTGAGAGAGACTGAAGATAGACTTTCAAGCATGGAAGACAGGATTGCAGCTTTGACCGTGAAACAAAAGGTCCCTTAAAAACACCATGGAATCCGGAAATAACAACTCATCGGCTGCAAGATGATGCAAAGAAGCATAATTGAAGAGTGATCAGTGTCGCTGAAGAAGCAGGGGTCAACACAAATGAAATTCATAGGACATTCACAGAAGTAGGAGAACGCAACTTCCCGAACATGGGAAATGGATCTGGCATGCGGGTAAGTGAAGCATTATAGGACTCCAACTACCGTAACCAAAGTCAGTGTACACCCAGACATGGAATAATCAAGATCCCAGAAATTCAGCACAAGAACAGAATATTAAAAGCTGTTAGAGAAAAGAAACAGAGCACTTATCAAAGAAAACGAATCAAAATCAATGCAGACTTATCAACACAAACCATCCAGTCAAGAAGAGTTTGGAGGGAAGTGTTTCAAACCCTGAAAGAAAACAATGTCCAAACCAGAGTTGACTACCCTACAAACTATAGTTTGAAATTGATGGAAAAATAAGATACGACCATGATAAGGAACAACTGAAGGAATTCGTGACTACAACCAACCTTACAGAGAGTTCAAAGGCATATTCTACAGAGAGAGATGACCATGGTGCCAGGAACAGCAGCAGAGGAAGATCGCCAAACAGGACAGGCAATGGAATGAAGGGAAGTGTGGAGGGCCAACAGCAGGAGGACAGCAGGGCAGAGGCAAACCAATGTGTGCTGCTTTGAACCAGTAGTGTAGATCGGCTCAGGTCAGCAACACAAAGGAACATAGGGACAGTGGGTCAAGAAACAAGATACATCGACACACTGTATACAAGAAACACATCTGACTGGAAAAGAAATTCATGGACTGAACAGCAAAGGAGAGAAAACAAGTGTCCCCTGCGACAGAAAACCAGAAAACAAAGCAAGGGTAAGTTGCCCATCAACCGCACAATGGACAAGGAATATATGGTATTTTCCTACAGTGGAGAGCTACCCAGCTACAGGTAGAATAATTTCAGGGCTGCTGTAGGTAAATTGACCAAACTGGAGATCATGTTCAGGGGTGAAACCGTGCGACTTATACACGTGAACCCCAGCATCAGGAACAGAAGGAGTTAATGGGACCCAAAAGCAAGAGTTACTGTAAGAGTGACGGGGGAGGAAACACCTGGCGGGGGGAAAGGCAGTAACTACTGTTAAATTCTTATTGCCTTTGACTCTTGGGGTTTTTTAAAACAATTTTGTTAGGTTAGGCTTTGTTCTGTCTTGTGTTGTTCTATTTTACCCACATGACGATAGGGGCAGCTATTTTGAATATAATGGGATCTATGATGGTCACCCAGGTTTCCTAACGTATTACTTTGAAGTCTTATGATGCTCTCATTCATTGATATAATCGGTTTTATTGATTTCTTTCATTCTATTGAGTGTGATGGTATGAACATGTATTCTGAAACAAATGAGAAATTACGGTAGCCAATGCTGACTTTCTATCACCTTGTTTTGAGGTCCTATGAGGCTTCTGTTCTTCGGATTTGATTAGTTCTATCCTGTTGTGTTTAATTTGGGTTCATTATGTTGGGGGTATAGACAGCTTTTCTGAGGACAATGAGATAGGAAAGTCTTGCTTGGACAAAGGAGTCAGGCGTAGACAACGCAAAGAGCTTTAACAAAGTCAGACTCGCTGCCTCCAAAACAAACAGCACAGCAGGGAGACCCTGGGCAACTAACATGAATAGACACTTCTTGGAGAAGATCTCGGGACCCAAAGCACAGACAAAACCATCCACAGCACAGGCCACCAGAGATCTACAATCTAACAGCACCTGGATTGCACGCCATCCCATCATGAAGACATCAAGAAACAGAGAGCGCTGGAGAGGCTGTGGGTTGGCGGGCTGGGGAAGGGAGACTCGTGTGCCTTAGATTTCAACATCAACTACTTAACCAGCGTAGAAATCTGTACACACTTTCCTCAAAACTCTAAGAGGAGAAATTTGATGCATTCCAGCGATTCCAGCTCTGCATATCTTCCCCAAGTACCCACAGGGGTGAGGTTACAGGGATCCAAGTGGGGCCAGGCTTAGGACCACACCATGCATAATAGCTCCACCTTGGAAGCAGCCTACAGGCCATGACAGACCAATGGGTCCAGGCAACGAACGTGCGGGTTGCTAGGGGTCACCAACTTGTGCTGGAGGTGCAAGACAAAACAGCACCTAAGGAAACCTCGGCCCTGGGCAGGCTGGCCAGCTTTCCCGACACACTCGACACCCCACCGGGCTGGCTCCTGCCACCTCCCGGAGTTCGTGTGCTCTGCCCTGGACACACACTTCCAGTCCAAGAGTCGACCAGCAGGGCCACCTTGCCCCTGACTCTCTTGCTTTCCCAGGTGCTTTTGTCCCTCAACACCGGGCCCTCCTGCATGAGCACGGGCTCTCCTGTACACACAACCCTGCCCTTCGCACAACATCCCAGCCTGTCCTGCCTGGCTCACTCTCAACTCTGCACACACGGCCAGGGTGACCCCGTACAACCTTTCCTGCTTGCAGCTTAGAACTTGTGTGATTTCTGCAGGAGGCTAGAGCACAGGCTCAGCCACTCCCAGAAAGCTGTATCCTGAGCAGCAACAGCAGTGTGCCCATGTGCGTGTCTTGGTGCTCAGCGGGCTTGGGCCTAAAGTTTCGTGTGAGGGGAGAGTGGAATCTGGGCTGGAACCATGGCACCCAGCGCACAGAGAGAGCCAGGACCCACGGGTATCGAAAGCAAGGCAGAAACACAGAGACGGGCACTGGCAAAGTGGATTTATTTGGCTCCCATGGGGCAGTGGTCGGATACTAAGGAGAGGAGCATCCTTTGCGTTGGGAGAGGGAAAGGGAGGCTCTGGAGCCCCTTGCTGGGTTCTAGCTCAGAGTCCAGCAGCTCAGTCCAGTAGGATTCCTGTCTGCCACAATGCGGGACCACATGGGCCCGGGAGGTACATAGTGGCGGTCCCCTGTCCCATGTCCCGGAGAGTGGACACGGAGATGGGAGTTCAGCAGCCGCAGCAGGAGGAGGTCAGCAGCAGCAGGAGGAGGAGGTGCCACAGCAGACAGGGTTGCAGAGGAGGGCGGGGCAAGAGGGCTGGCAGCACCCCGAGGACTGGCAGGAGGGCACCACGCACGCGGCTGGCCTGCAGCATACGGGCACACACACGGAGGCCTGGCACGACGGCTGGCAGCACCCCGAGGACTGGCACGATGGGGTCAGGCACAGGACAGGCTTGCAGCTCACGGGCACGCAGCAGGCAGCCTGGCAGGGGCTGGACCCGCAGCAGGCCGGCTGGCAGCACGGGGAACAGCTGGTGTGGCACATGGCGGACGAGGGAGAGGAGGTGGCTGTGGCTGGCAGGAGGTGCTGGTGAGGTCTGGGCCTCCACCCCGAGCTGCATTTATACCCGGTTCCCGGCAGGCCCGCCACACGCACGGCTCTGCTGTCTTCCTGCTCTGACTTCCTACTTTCCCACTCTGCTTGTTCCTTTGTTCCTGGAGCCTCAGCTTCTCCCCTAATTGCACCCTCTCTGGGCTGCAGGGACACAACAATCCCGCCCAGCACTGCACAGCCTCCACCTGGATGCTGGCTGCCTCCCTCCCCTTCCCCTGTCACTTCTGCCAGATCCCCCACCCCAAGATGCTGCTGTGAGCTCTCCCTCCAGGTGGGACGATGCCTTTGCAAATGCCACCCAGCTGACCCTTGTCCCGGGAGGCTGTGCGGGTCCAGAGAAGATGGGAGGCTAGACACGCCCTGCGCACCAACCAGATATGGTGAGAGCTCGGCGCAGTCACGCGGGAGGGAGGGCTGGACAACTGTCTGTCTCGTGTCTTTTCCATCCCATTGATTTTTTTTTTGTTTTTCATTTATTTTTCCCTCCTTCTTACTGTCTTGCTCTCTTTTTGCTGTTTGATGTTTGTTTTGCCTAAGGAAGAGGGATAAAGCCTGAGCCCCAAAGAGAAACACACGCTAAGAAACTCTGCAAAGCTGTTTGTGGAAATGGCACCAAAAGGAAGCTTTTTCCTTGACACACTGCACCTTAGGGTGTCTGTGACCAAACCACACTCCAGAAACACTCAGGGACGTCCTAGACAGAGACAGCCAGCCAAGGGAGCCCACAGACGAATGGAGTGACGAGGCTGAACCAGGTGAGTGGTGACAAACTACCGCGGAAATGGAGGCAACAGGGAAGTCAGGAACCAGAGGACCCGTGTCAGCGAGGACTGCGCACGGGGGTCAGCCCACGTCCTCCGGAGCCTCTTCTCAGGTCAGACTGCAGCTGCGGTGCTTTCAACAGACTCACTGTGTGCAAAAGAAATTCATGGACTATAAATCAAGGGGAAAATGAGCATGACATGCACCGGTCACCCAAAATCAACAAGGGAGAACCATCTCGTTCTCAAAGAATCCTTCAAGGCACAAAGGAAGCAGAACAGGGAAAGAAAGGCTCTCTAGACACGTGAAGGAGCCGCTGCACAGGAAGAAGGCAGGAGGTGGTGGCGTCATGAAAATGAGCAGGCACCAAACCTCACTGCAGCACCACGGAAACAAACAGAACCGCTTGTAAAAGTTCAGGCACACAGAGACGTGGTACAGGGCTGAACCTCAAGGCCCACTTTCAAAACACCAACTACCTAACTGACAAAATAACTAAATGAATAAAGGCAATTAGAGAAACAGAAGATAACTCAGCTTCACAGCGAAACCAGACCTTTCCGTAAGACAAATCAAACACTGTCTGCTGAGGTTTCTACCCAAATGCTAAAGAACACATGTTCTTCTCAGCAAGACCCAGGAATTCCTCCCAAGGGACCTGCAGAGCAGCCCCTTCTGGTCCTTTCCACAAGCACACAGTGTCTTGGGCGTCCCGGAGCACTGCTCCTAGATATCAAGCACACAAATAGCACAGAGAGCTTTATAAACATCGGGACATAGAGTCACACGGCCCTGAACACACAATGGTGACACAAGTGGTCAAGCAAAGAAGGAAACATTTCCTGGAAGCAAATGGGAGGGCAGGTCCCGGTTGCCAGCACCTATGGGACACAATGAAACCAGTCCCAGGAGGGACACGGGAGGACCACGTCTCGATCTGGTATCACTCATCCTTCACAACTCAACTGCCAACAATCCAGCAAGTGGAAAACACTGTTTTGTCCCTCAAATTGGGAATGAGAACATTTCTCTTATCTATATTGCTGTTCAATATAGTACTTAAAAATTCAGCCAGAACAAGCACCCAAGGAGAAAAAGGAAAACGATATTAAAATAGGATAAGAAGAGGTCAAAGTTTACTTACTTGATGACAGGATGCTCTCCAGAGCAGACACACAAGCACCACCAAAAGACGCCTACAATAAATACTCAACCTGACAGAATGCGTAATACACGAGCACGACTCCTCCAGCCCAGTAATGAACCTGCTGAAAAACCTGAAACGGAAGAGACTCTGTACACAGCAGCATCGAGAATGACTGCTGGACGGGCAGGGACACTTATGGTCACAGTGGCCGTGATTCCAAGGGGGATCCACACAGCCGACGTAACCGCAATCCAGCTACCAACATGCGGTCTTCACAGCATGGAGAACACAGCCCTGCAAAGCACCAGGGTCCATGAGAGACCGAGAATACCCAAAGCCCTCCAGGGCATGAAGAGCAGAGGACAGGTGTCCAAGACCTGGGCTTCAAGTGTATTGCAAAGATGCGGGGCGCCACACACAAAGCAGAGCAAAATAAAGGAAGCTAGAACTATAGGAAACAAAATGAAACACCGAAAGGAAACAGCATGTTTTGCACCAGCATTTCAAAAGACATGAGAATGCACAGCACTGAAGACAGGATGCAAAACCACTGCTGGCACAGAGAGCCAGCAGATCTGTGTCTGCCTGCTGGGCAGCACCACTGGAAGGCCCTTTCCTTAGGAATGCCAGTGGGGACAGACAGAGCCAGACAGATCCACCTCTGGCTGCAGGGAGCAGCCATCAGAAGGCTCCTTCTTGTACATAGCCTGCAGGAACAGGGAAAAACAGCCAGATAAGCCCTGTGCACCTGTAGGCCCCCACTGCAGGCCCTTGGTTCCTTCTGGAAGTCATCACTCAATAGTGGAATCAGACAAACACAGCCCTGTGTGTCTGCCACCATCACGGCAGTCCCAGTGTAGACACAGGCTGAGAGAAGCAGCCCCACCCCCATGCAGAGAATCCCCACTGTAGCTGTACATCTGAGGAGATGCCCCCCTGCTACCTCCCTGTAAATCTGGGGTCAGAGGAACTGGGTGCCTGTCCCATGCCCCCTGCACCATGGAAGGGTACGCAACGTGGGAAGTACCTGGGAACCTACAGGAAGCCAAGAGAATATCAAGATGATGGAGGAAAAGGCATCCTCAGACCTCTACCCCACACAGAACAACTCTGCAAGATACAGTCATGGAATCAAATGCAAGTCGCGCACCTCTAATCTCTTGAGAGTGTAGCAACAGAAATAAAGAAACAACTTCATGAGATTGCAAAAGCAGTCAAATCAGATATAACGTCTCAGGTCACAGAAGAAATCACAAACACACTGGAAGGATTGTTCAGCAGATCTAAAGAAGACAGACAAAAAAGAGGAGCACAGGAAAATGACAGAAACTTTGAAAGGATATAGAAAGGAATTACATTGAATGAAGCAGGTGCTGAGAGATCCGGAAAATTAAACATTAACTTGAAAGTTCCTGAAACAGCTTGAGAGAGACTGAAGATAGACTTTCAAGCATGGAAGACAGGATTGCAGCTTGTGACCGAGAAACAAAAGGTCTCTTAAAAACACCATGGAATCCGGAAATAACAACTCATCGGCTGAAAGATGATGCAAAGAAGCATAATTGAAGAGTGATCAGTGTCGCTGAAGAAGCAGGGGTCAACACAAATGAAATTCAAAGGACATTCACAGAAGTAGGAGAACGCAACTTCCCGAACATGGGAAATGGATCTGGCATGCGGGTAAGCGAAGCATTATAGGACTCCAACTACCGTAACCAAAGTCAGTGTACACCCAGACATGGAATAATCAAGATCCCAGAAATTCAGCACAAGAACAGAATATTAAAAGCTGTTAGAGAAAAGAAACAGAGCACTTATAACAGAAAACGAATCAAAATCAATGCAGACTTATCAACACAAACCATCCAGTCAAGAAGAGGGAAGTGTTTCAAACCCTGAAAGAAAACAACGTGCAAACCAGAGTTGACTACCCTACAAACTATAGTTTGAAATTGATGGAAAAATAAGATACGACCATGATAAGGAACAACTGAAGGAATTTGTGACTACAACCAACCTTACAGAGAGTTCAAAGGCATATTCTACAGAGAGATAGAGATGACCATGGTTCCAGGAACAGCAGCAGAGGAGGATCGCCAAACAGGACAGGCAATGGAATGAAGGGAAGTGTGGAGGGCCAACAGCAGGAGGACAGCAGGGCAGAGGCAAACCAATGTGTGCTGCTTTGAACCAGTAGTGTAGATTGGCTCAGGTCAGCAAAAAAAAAGAAACATAGGGACAGTGGATCAAGAAACAAGATCCATCGACACACTGTATACAAGAAACACATCTGACTGGAAAAGAAATTCATGGACTGAACAGCAAAGGAGAGAAAACAAGTGTCCCATGCGACAGAAAACCAGAAAACAAAGCAAGGGTAAGTTGCCCATCAACCGCACAATGGACAAGGATCATATGGTATTTTCCTGCACTGGAGAGCTACCCAACTGCAGGTAGAATAATTTCAGGGCTGCTGTAGGTAAATGGACCGAACTGGAGATCATGTTCAGGGGTGAAACCGTGCGACTTATACACGTGAACCCCAGCATCAGGAACAGAAGGAGTTCATGGGACCCAAAAGCAAGAGTTACTGTAAGAGTGACGGGGGAGGAAACACCTGGCGGGGGGAAAGGCAGTAACTACTGTTAAATTCTTATTGCCTTTGACTCTTGGGGTTTTTTAAAACAATTTTGTTAGGTTAGGCTTTGTTCTGTCTTGTGTTGTTCTATTTTACCCACATGACGATAGGGGCAGCTATTTTGAATATAATGGGATCTACGATGGTCACCCAGGTTTCCTAACGTATTACTTTGAAGTCTTATGATGCTCTCATTCATTGATATAATCGGTTTTATTGATTTCTTTCATTCTATTGTGTGTGATAGTATGAACATGTATTCTGAAACAAATGAGATATTACGGTAGCCAATGCTGACTTTCTATCACCTTGTTTTGAGGTCCTATGAGGCTTCTGTTCTTCGGATTTGATTAGTTCTATCCTGTTGTGTTTAATTTGGGTTCATTATGTTGGGGGTATAGACAGCTTTTCTGAGGACAATGAGATAGGAAAGTCTTGCTTGGACAAAGGAGTCAGGCGTAGACAACGCAAAGAGCTTTAACAAAGTCAGACTCGCCGCCTCCAAAACAAACAGCACAGCAGGGAGACCCTGGGCAACTAACATGAATAGACACTTCTTGGAGAAGATCTCGGGACCCAAAGCACAGACAAAACCATCCACAGCACAGGCCACCAGAGATCTACAATCTGACAGCACCTGGATTGCACGCCATCCCATCATGAAGACATCAAGAAACAGAGAGCGCTGGAGAGGCTGTGGGTTGGCGGGCTGGGGAAGGGAGACTCGTGTGCCTTAGATTTCAACATCAACTACTTAACCAGCGTAGAAATCTGTACACACTTTCCTCAAAACTCTAAGAGGAGAAATTCGATGCATTCCAGCGATTCCAGCTCTGCATATCTTCCCCAAGTACCCACAGGGGTGAGGTTACAGGGATCCAAGTGGGGCCAGGCTTAGGACCACACCATGCATAATAGCTCCACCTTGGAAGCAGCCTACAGGCCATGACAGACCAATGGGTCCAGGCAACGAACGTGCGGGTTGCTAGGGGTCACCAACTTGTGCTGGAGGTGCAAGACAAA